ACCCTTGGTAGAGTGCTGTGACGTCACAGCTCACAGCAACCTTAAACTCTTGGGCTTAAGCAAATCTCCTGCCTCAGCCTCCCAAGTAGCTGTAACTACAGGTGCCCACCACAACACCCAGCTATTTTTTGTTGCAGTTGTCATTGTTTAGCTGGCTTGGGCCAGTTTCAAACCCGCCAGCCTTGGTGTATGTGGCTGGTGCCATAACCACTATGCTACAGGCGTTGAGCCCGCTGTATGTTTCTTATACAAACACTTGTCACTGGATTGAGGGTCCACCTAGATAATCCAGGATGATGTTTTCATCTCAAGATCCTTAACTTAATTATATCTTCAATGATGCTTCTTCTAAATAAGGTCTCACACACAGGTTCTGGGGGATTAGGATGTGAACATATCTTTTGGGGGACCACCATTCAGCCCACCACACAGTGTAACAAATTACCACCTATATAGTAGCTTAAAACTAATACCCATATACGAGCTCACAGTTCTGTACATTTAGCAAGGTGTGGCTCAGTCCTTCACTCACAGTCTGACAGGCTAGAATCCAGGTTTAAGCTAGGTTCTCATCTGGAGCTTGGGATCTTCTTCCAACCTCATGTGGTTGTGGCAGAATTCAGTTCCTCCAAGTTGTAAGGCTGAAGCATTCAATTCTGTACTGCCAGCCAGGGGCTGTTGTCAGCTCCCAGAAGACAGCTGTACTCCTGGCCATGTGGTCCCCTCAAAGTCAGCCAACAGTGCATGTTCTCAACTTCAAATTCTCTTTGTTGCTTTTCTGCCACCAGCTGTAGAAAACAGCCAGCAGGGCACTCCATCTTCCAACTGCAAAGAAGTGAATTCTGCCAACAACCTGAAAGAGCTTAAAAAGGATTCTTCCCCAGAGCCTTAAGAGCCTGGTCCAGCACACTTTGATCTTGGCTTTATGAAGCACTGCTGACCTGAACTGTGAGACAACAAATAGGTGCTGTTTTCAGCTATTGAGTCTGTGCTAATTAGCTAAGCAGCATAGAAAACAAATACAACGTTCCTAATAGAGGCTCATGGGAATAGTAGTTACAACTCACATCCTTCTTTTTGTCTAGACATTTGCTCCCTCTGTGGAATAATGACAGAGGAATCTGTGATCACTATTCAGTGTGAGCACTTTCCCTTTTATTGGTTAAGCAAGAATAGTTGAATGTGTATAAGGTGATGCACATATGACCTAACTTCACCGTCCCCTGCAGAATGTTTTGGTATGACAATCGATACTATCATAGTAAGCTATGTGGAATTCTGAACAACTTACCTCATTGGTCCCTCCTTGAGAAGCGTAAGTGAACTTACAAGTATACTTGTCCTAAAGAATGGAAGAAAAAAAGCTTGGTAGAAGATACTTCTTAGTGCTAAAAGTACAGGGTCTCAGGGCATCCTGAATCAAGGCAATCCCCTCATACTAAGAAGGAAGGGGGCAGAGCCAGAGGATTCTGGCTAGTGTCCCTGCAAGCCTGCCTTGCAAGGCCTCCCAATGGCTGCAGACCTCTAAGTCCCTTGCCTGCCTCCCTACTGTGGAGCTCCTGGGTCAGGACAGACAATCCACATGGCTTCTGGGGTACAAAAAAACAGGAAGGGGGAAGTCACACCCCCTTCAACACCCATCCCTCTAGGAGCAAAAGCTTTGGAAATAGTAACACCCTGGACAAGTGAAAGCCTTTTCAAGTCCCTATTTCCTCATCTGTTAAATGAGTCTCACATATAAAGAACTTAGCAACCTATCTGACCATAAGGAAGTATTCAACAAACAGTACCGCTGTCAAAGATGGTGAAAGGAGGCTGAGAGAAAAGGGACTTTGCCGCAAAGCTGGGGATAGAGTTGGGCTAGACCCAGCCTGCTGCCTTCAGATAAAGGGCGCCTGGCCTCACGCCTTCCGTGAGGTGGGACCTTGTGCAACAGAAGGAAAGAACACTTCTTCCCTAGTCAGAGCTGCAGCGACTGACCTCTGGAAAGTGCAGGAAGGGGAAACACTCCTCACCCTCCAGTCGCTGTCATCACTGCCCTTTCTCCACCTCTAGGGCTGCCTGGGCACTCTGGGTAGGTGACAGGTGAGACAGGGACTGAGGCTGGTAACCACACCCCCTTGAAGTCGCCTGCCCACAGGATGCCTCGCCTGCTATTACTGCAGCGATAACCTCACCCTCGCAGTCCCGCACCCCATCCTCAGGCTTCACCGCCCCTTCTTCAGCACTCTTGGACCCCGCCGGCACCATACATCGCTTCAGATGCCAGGGGCGGCGGTGGCACGTACCGCCGGGCCCACGTTCTGAGAGAAGGAGTGTACAACGCCGCCAGGCCGCACGTCAAACGCCACTGTCGTGGGCTCGGACACCGCTTCCACCGGCTTCAGCACCACGGCCCCCAGGAGCATCACTGCCCACAGGCTAGCGCTGCTGCCGTCCCTCTGTCCGGTGGGCGCCGCCATCTTGGAATAGGGTCCTCCGGGCAGGGGCGGGCGGACGGGGTGCGGCAAGGGACACGTGGGGCTTGCGACGAAGGCCACGTAGGCGTCGGCGGGGTGACGTGACCCGGTGCGCCCCGCTCCTTTTGCCTGCCTGGGCGGCCATATTAGGGCGGGGCTTGGAAGGGCCTCACCGCCTCGGTACCATCGACCTCAGATGGTACTGGAGGTCGATCCCGGGGCTTAGGGTCCCCTAGTCCCTCACTTATCAGTTGTGTGGTCAACTCTGCAGCTCTTGCAGTTAGTAAATGTAGAGCGAGGGAGGAAAATCAAAGGTAAGCGTTAGGCAAACATTTCACAATCTCTGTAGCCTGAGATCTACGCGTTCAAGTTCAAAATTAGTGGAGGAAAGAGAATGAGAAACAGGACATTTGCATGGCCTCAATGTATCTCCCCCTAGAATAAACACATTTTTTCCTTCGGAAACGGCCCATGCTGGAACTAATTAAAAACAAAATTTTTTTTTTTCTTTGTAGAGACAGGGTACCAGGTTGGCCTTGAAATCTTGGCCTTGGGGCAGCGCCTGTGGCTCAAGGAGTAGGGCGCCAGCCCTATATACCGGGGATGGCGGGTTCAGGCCGGACCCCGGCCAAAACCGCAAAAAAAATAAAAAAATAAAAAAAAAATCTTGGCCTCAAGTGATCCTCCTGCCTCAGCCTTCCAAAGTGCTGGGATGTGAGGTGTGAGCCTCCGCCCAAGCCTCCCCAAGATTCTTATTAATTACGAAGAGAAAAGTAGTGTGACTTTTATAGTGAACACAACATGTTAGCCCAGTGAGCAAAGTTAATGTTACTATAAATGAGAAAGTAACATTATGGACCCACTGATAGGATGCAGTGAGAGGGCACAGTACCTCGGTGGGATTCCTGCCTGGGATACACTTCAGTCTAATCATGATCTAGTCAATAAGACAGACCCAAATTGAGGGACATTCTACAGAACAACCAGCAGGATTTCTCAGGGTATCACTTAAGACAGACTGAGGACGGCTCAGTGCCGGTAGCTCAGTGGTTAGGGAGCCTGCCACATGCACTGGGGCTGGTGGGTTCAAACCCAGCCGGGGCCTGCTAAACAACAATGACAATAGCTGGGCATTGTGGTGGGCGCCTGTAGCCCCAGCTACTTGGGAGACTGAGGCAAGAGAATTGCTTAAGTCCAAGAGTTTGAGGTTGCTGTGAGCTGTGACATCACATGACTTTACTGAGGGCAAAATAGTGAAACTGTCTCAAAAAATTAAAAAAAAACCCAAACAGTTGGCTCCATTGAGTTGTGGCTCAAGAGGCTAAGGCACCAGCTGCATACACCTGAGCTGGCAGGTTTGAATCCAGCCTGAGCCTGCCAAACAACAATGATGGCTGCAACCAAAAAATAGCTGGTCGTTTTGGCAGGTGCCTGTAGTCCCAGCTACTTGGGAGCGGAGGCAGGAGAATCACCTGGGCCCAGGACTTGGAGGTTGCTGTGAACTGTGATGCCACAGCACTCTACCCAGGGCGACAGCTTGAAGCTCTGTCTCAAAATAAATAAATAAATAAAATAAACAGAAATAATAAAATAAAAGAAAACCATTACTACCTCAAGGGGTTGTCAGGAGGGTTAAATGAGGGAATGCAATTAAAGTTCCCACCATAGGCTCGGCGCCTATAGCTCAACCGGCTAAGGCGCCAGCCATGTACACCTAAGGTGGCGGGTTCGAATCCCCAGCCCGGACCCGCCAAACAATGACGGCTGCAACCAAAAAATAGCCAGGCGTTGTGGCGGGCGCCTGTGGTCCCAGCTACTTGGGAGGCGGAGGCAGGAGACTCGCTTGAGCCCAGGAGTTGGAGGTTGCTGTGAGCTGTAATGCCATGGCACTCTACCCAGGGGGACAGCTTGAGGCTCTGTCTCAAAAATAAATAAATAAATAAATAAAGTTCCCACCATAGAAGAGATGAGGTGAGAATTCTAAATACCAGCTGTTGCTCTCACTCAACTAAAAACTACATAAGTCATTGTTTTTATCACAAATTGTTTAAAATTTCAAGAAAACACCAATAGCCATGTGTAGAGGGTCAAGAATTGAGCTGGTATTCCTACCTTTTCTTGACTAGAAAAAAACAGAATTCACAGAGAATATGTTGTAGGTAATCCCTAAACCGGGGATTTGCATCCTTTGAGGAAGCAAATCACTGTATCCCCCAGCTGTGGAGGGTAAAGGAGTCTTACTCAGGGAAGTGAGGAGGAAGCTGGAGGAGGCTGACTCCTCTGCAGGCAAGAAGTCCAGGCTGGGTGCCTTTCTACATGAGATAGCAGTCTGTTTGAAATTGGGATACCTGCTTATGCTAAGAAATTTCTTCCTCCTTGTAGAAATTTCTTTCTCCTTGTAGATGGCTTCCCTGGATTAGAAATTGCTTTCATAAGGTGGGTAACCACAGTGCCATCCTGTTCTTCTGGTGTTGGACACAGCATGGTTCCACAGATGGAGTCCCCATTTCCCCACCACTGTGTTCAATCTTTAGCCTGTTACTGTGAAGTATGCAATCCATGACCAGGCTCTGCTGCTAATAAGGTATTTCAACTGTGAGCTGTTATATTCTCCTACCGAACACAGGAAGGTTTATTATGTCGGTGTGTTTTCCTTCCAGAAAGACTTTGAGCCCCAGGCTGCTTTTGTTTTTCCTTTTTGCTTAGAAAAAATAAAAACAAAAATAGTACACTGAAGGGATTGAAAGAAAACAAACCGTCATTTCAAAGATCCTGCTTTCCAATCATGACATGACGTCTAGAAGACCTAAAGGAAGAGATGTGATCGTATGAGTATCACAGACTTTTCCATGGTTAAGATACCATAAATGGGGGTGGATGTAAGTATTAAGGAATAGAGTAATGGAATTCCTTTGTGGTGAAGAACCATTTTTTTATCTCCATTGTGGTGGTGGTTACAGAAATCTATGCAGCTGATAATATGAGATAGAAACACACATTCACATAAATGAATGCATGGAAAAACTGGTAAAATCCAAGTAAGGTCCTGAATAGGGGAATCCTATGTACTCAATTCTGACATGACGACAATTAAGGTCCTAGTGCATGGTTCATCTAACAAAGGCAATCAGTGTAATCTGGTTCTGTGTACCCTCAAGGAATCCCCAACAATAAAATAAATAAATAAATAACATGGGCGGCGCCTGTGGCTCAAAAGGGTAGGGCGCCAGTCCCATATGCAGGAGGTGGCAGCCCTGGCCCTAGCCAAAAAAAAAATAATAATAATAGTATAACATAAACCAGTTTGAAAGTCAAATAACAAGCCAGGAAAATATCTGCAACTGATAATGACACAGATGGACTCTTGCCAGTTAGAGAAAAGACTGAGTACTTCCAATAGGAAAGGAATCAGGCCCGTAGCACAGTGGTTACAGCGCCAGCCACCTTCACCGAACATGGAGGGTTTGAGCCTAGCCAGGGCCAACTAAACAATGACAACTGCAACAAGAAAATAGCCAGGTGTGGCGGGCACCTGTAGTCCCAGCTACTTGGGAGACTGAGGCAAGAGAATTGCTTAAGCCCAAGAGTTTGAGGTTGCTGTGAGCTGTGATGTCACAGGACTCTACCAAAGGCAACATAATGAGACTCTTGTCTCAAAAAAAAAAGGACAGGAATCATACCTGTGAACAGGCAGAGGGCCCTTTCACTGCTTGAATCCCTTGCAGCAGTAGAAATGTCAAGAGGACCATCTACTAACTGGGAAGAAATGCCTCTCAACCTGTCCACCTCCCAAACCTGAGGCCCTCTGCTAGAGAACATCCATCCTTCTGTAACTGCCTAACATCCCTCTTCCCTTCCTGCTGGCCAAAGTGTCAGGGACAGGAATATGAGCAATGACTACTGTCTCATGATAATTTGAATATTGACTAAGTGGGGCAGGACAGAAGGTTCTGGTAAAGTTGCAGGTTTCCAGCTACCAAGCCTCCTGGGGCAACCCCACTAAACCCCCTTCGCACCAGTTCTGTGTCTCTCTGTGCTCTTTGTCTTCTTTAGCCAGAGCCAGATTCTGTGGCTTATGGCTGGTCCCCTGCTGCATTTAATTTTACAGTGGATTAAGGGAACATTTTCTTACTTCTGAATGATTTTAAATGTTCAATAGCTGAGCTTCCTACCAGTAAAATACATTGAGACTGGAAACACATTTCAATTTGTTATGTGTATGACAAATGACTGATATCCTTCATCTAAAAGAGCAACCTCAAATCAATGAGACCAAGTCAAAAGAAAGGTAGGCAAAAGACATGAACAAATGATTACAAGAAAACAGATGACTTAAAATGTGAGAAGATCTCCCATGTAAGAAAAATGAGTTAAAATTGCAGTGAGACGCTACTTTTCACCTGTAAGATGGGCAAAGAAAAAACTATTTGATAACACATAGTACTGGTGAAGGAATCAAGAAAACAGGCACACATCTCTCTTGGTAGGAGTGTACTTTGAGGCAATCTCTCTATGTAAGGCAATTTGGTAATATTCTTCAAAATTAAAAGTGAATATGCCATTTACTAATTCTAGAAATTTAACTTATAAAGACATATATGTATGTCAAGTCATATCTTATTATATATAAATCTATTTGTTGCAAAATCCTTATACCAGGGGTCGGCCAGTTATATATATAGCCTGTGGGCTAAAACAAGCCAGCTGCTTGGTTTTGTAAATAAAGTTTTATTGGTACACTCATTCATTTACATTTTACCTAAGACTGTCTTCGTGCTACAATGGAAAAGTTGAATGGATGACACACAGGTTGGCCCAAAAAACCTACATTTACCATCAGAGGCTGGGTGTGATGGCTCATACCTGTAATTCTAGCACTTGGGAAGCCAAGGCAGGTGGATTGCCTGAGCTCACAGGCTCGAAACCAGCCTGAGTCAGAGCAAGACCTTGTCTCTAAAAATAGCTGGGCATTGTGGTGGGCATCTGCAGTCCCAGCTACTTGGGAGGCTGAGGCAAGAGAATTGCTTGAGCCAAGAGTCTGAGGTTGCTGTGAGCCATGACACCAAAGCACACTACCCAGGGTGGCTCTGTCTCAAAAACAA